GACTTCATTTGCAGTTCTTCTGAGGAAGATACGAGTGTTTCATTTCCGTTATCTTTGAGTTTAATACGATACAATCACTCCAAAGGAAAAGTATTTCAATCTATAACGACACACTAGATACTAACCCTGCTGAAATATTGTGTTAGAGAAAATAATAGCGTCTACTAAACTGTTCTGTTTTATTTTAATCTAAAATTCTTCTAACCTGATGGAACATAATAATATATCCAAGAAGAAGTTGTCTTGACGTTTTTACACGGATTTAACCGCGCTATGAGTAACGGCATGGCTTGTAATTTTCATTGACATTTAGACTTCTGCATACACTGTGAAAAATAAAATGGCATGAATTCAAAGAAGTGCATATACAATATCAATACATAAACAGATTTCAAAATAACAGTTGTATTAACTGACTTGAAACCTAAAATGAATGTTATGTATATTCTGCTCGGGAGTTAAAACGATCGGTACTGTCACATAAATAAGATTTTTAGAGTGGGCACTTCGTCGTGGTGTAATGGTTAGCAAGCACGTCTCTTTAGATTGTTTACGACTGAATATTGAGTGCCCATAATTTCGGCCTTGTACCACATCTAAGCTACGCTTAGAAAAGCACCATAAGATCATAGAGTTATCGAATCCCATTCAGCAACAAATGAATGTAAGCACGTTGAATCAGCTGAAAGATTATAGAAGTCGATTAATTTGGGTTAAATTATTGATTCAAGTGTCTTCCCCATTACAGGAAATGTTTTCTGATTGTACAAGAATGTTTTCGAACTTGTTGGTCATATTCAGAGTGTGTGTGTGTGTGTGTGTGTGTGTGTGTGTGTGTGTGTGTGTGTGTGTGTGTGTGTGTGCGCGCGCATTATCCTTATAAAACAGTACATTGCTTTCCTTCTGGATGAAATTCAGCAGCAGTGTTCTGGATATACATGACATTACCTCCACCCGTACCAAAAGTGATCGTTTATTGTAACTTATGTACCCACACCAAAATGCCGGGAGGTTGGGCTTGTGCATTGAGAGTGACTACAGTTTGAATTGAATGAAACCGCAACGAATCTATCGGTTGATAAAAAGAAAAACCTGTTCTAATCTCGGAAAACTGAACGAAGCATTTTGGTCACCCAATTTTTCTTCCCGTTGCAACACTAGAGACATGCAAGATGCTACTGTCTTGTAAGTTTAAATCTCTTGAGAGAATACCCTATTTGTAAACCTGATATAAACAAACGATTCCCAACATACGTTGCTGACGCCACTAGACCGACATTTGCTCTGATCCGTTAAGTGAACTTTGACCTCCCTACTACTGCTGCTTTTCTTATTAGAAGATCGATTCTAAATCCCTTTTCAAGTGTATAAACTTCATTATTATTTCAATATTTGTCCGAATTCTGTTTCTCATTTATTTCTCTGTCTGTTTCCAAATGATTCGGTCTATTTGTCCTGTGGCTTTCTTCAAATGAAGAACACTTATGGAGAGAGTGGTTCACTATCATTCAAAGAGTTATCTCGAGTAATATATGGAATTCTTTCTTATTGTTGTGTCTAAAACATTTCAGTCTCCCTATTGTATAGATTTTATAAATGAACAGCCGTTATGTAAATTGGAGACATTGTCAGTTTATTCAGAATACTTTTTCTTTTGTCACAATATAACATTTATTCAACTCAATAAGCGCTTATTACCATACTACGGTCTATCTGGACTGTTTCTGTTATTCTTTGTTTTTACTGGCGATTGCGAGGTGTTATTCAGTCTGTTTTACCGCTAGCCCTGTGTATGACGATAAACTACATCCGGCAGTATGGCCTATTGGAGATTGGAGGTTTTGAGGAGCTTGGAAGCACCTCTAAATTGAAGTTGTTCCCAGATTCAAACTGACCCGGGGAGTTAGAACCTGTTAGGGTCCCAGCTATGGGTAAATCTTGAACTCCCAAACAAAAACAAAATACTATGAAATTATAAAAATGCATTTTTATATAGTAAAAATACCAGCAACAAATCTTTGTATAAAAAAATTGCCAATAAAATACCTATTTATAGTAAAAACACCAACGATAACTATTAATATTAGAATTCCGAAAATACAGTTTAACTGTTGTCGAAAGCAAACAATTGTGTTCTAAATAATTAGATTTCGACATTAAATAACATGTAGAGGCTGATATGCCGCTGACCAAAAGCAATTGTTTTTCGGCATTTTAAATGAAAAATCCCAGTGAAAAAATGAGTTGATTATCTTTAGAAGAAATTTCACATTTGGTGATCAATTAGTTTTGAGTGAAGATATTGGTTTCTTCATTCTAGGAGTTTATTTAAATGTATTTTCTGTATGAAAATAGTTTGATAATCATTGTTGTTTGGAAATATCGGTCTATTTATTCTGTAGCATATTCCAAAGGAGAAATCCTTATAGAAATAATTGATTTTTTTCTCATTTTAAGTCTTTTCCAGAATGTTGTTCTCATTGTCTTCTTTGACTACTGATGACAGAACAATTCATTAAAATGGTTATAAGGTTTTTATCAAGTGCATTATTCAGGAAGAAGCAGCTGCTCTGAGGATACCTCTCCTTTGATATTGCAGTCAGGAAAAGGTCACTTCTACGGATTTTAAAAGAAAAATCGTTAAAAATATAAATGAAATTTCTAGTTACAAGTACTTTCTGGATTCTTTAGTTACACTCTATCAAATTATCAACCTTTTAAAATGAAGAATTCCTATTATAACTTCTTTAAAATCCAGACAATTATTTGAATTAATCATTTTTTTTCTTTGTCTTGTATGGTAATTCGATTGGTGCCTTCTCTAGCAAGATTCGAGAATTAATCAGTACGCAATTACTTGAAGATTAAAATTCCTAAAATGTGCTATTGAACCACGCTTCTCATTTGCCAGCATGTTTAATTCGATTTGTTTTAGATTTTCCTTCTATATAACACTCATTACCAAAAAAGATAACTTTATGATACCAATATCTTCCAGGAATATTGATGCCAATCATTGTTTTTGCGATTTAGAGAAATCTGATTTTGCTATTTAAAAATATATCCGTAACAACCTTCGATTAAGCAATATGGAATAGGTATTCCTAGAATTACCCTGACTATTGATTTATTATTGCTTTTTACATACCTTTTCAAAAGAACCATTCTACGATTCTTATCAAGTGAAACATACTAGTGGGAATAGTTGTGGGCCATTCGTTTATGAGAATTAACTCCGTTTGAAAGAACGTTTCAGTCAATCCGTTTTGAAATTTTTCAAATTAACACTCTTTATGCAAAGTAGTGGTCAATATAATCAGAGGAAATTCCTGGACTAAACGAACCATTCATAATTTATTCGGATTATTTCCATGTATTTACACGGTCTATTTCAGAACAAAATTAGTGAAATAAGATTGTTATAATATCGAGTCTTATGCTAACATTATTACCAATCTTGGATTTTGTTATCAGTAAGTTACTGAACATTCTCAAGTTTCTTTGAAATAAGCAATCCACGATTTTCTTGGAATATTTATCACATTTTTTTGTCATTTGTTTTAACGATATTTATGTCAATAGGATCGCTTATAAATCGTATTGTTGTCCCAGACATTGATCTCATTGCTTGTTTCAGCTTGTATTGGAAGGACGTTTCTATCTGATTTTTTAAACGTTGCTAGAATATTCCGTTCGATTAATTCTACTCCTAATCGAAGTAACGGGTCAGATCAATATTTTTCAGACTATCGATCACATCTATTCTAATTACTTATCTGAGTTTTTAACTAAAATTTTACTATTTCGACTAAATTTCCATCAACCCATTGCGTGGATATCTTCAATTTAGATAAATGATATTATTTACTCTTATCGATCTCGTGTATAAATTTTCATTTTGCCAAACTTTCACTCAATAGCGTTCTTTCAAATGGAAAATTAGTTTCTAAAAAGGAATCTCACTTACTCGAAATTTTGTGCCAACAATTGGCCTGTTTCCTTGAATGTTTTAATCGATCTCTTGAACTGTCTTTGTGAAATTAAAAAATCTTTACTGAAATGAGCGTTCATTTAGAATCCATATATTTCCAAAAAGTTTATTTTATTTAGGGTAAAAATGTGCTTTTTCGTTTTATTATATATCTTACTCAAATAAACAATCCTCATCGTAATGGGAGGTCATTATTCTCCCAATAATTTTTCTAAGCAGCTTCTCAAAATCAATGTACATTATCAATTTACATTCCATCAATTTTCAGGTTGTTGTGCTTTTTTCTTCTGTTTCTGATAGTGCTACAGAATTGGTCTTTTTTTCGAAATGAGCAAACATTAGGAAAATAGCGATTCATTAATAAATTCAAATGATGTTTGGTTCATTGATTGCATTATTTCATCGCTGTTGCTAGAATGTTTCAGATTATTTATGCCAGTGCATAAATAAAAATAATTGACAGGAAAATAGGATGTAATTGACATTTCAAGAATATACTTGGTTTCTTGTTTTTACAGTTGGTCAATTCTAAAGTTTATTCTAATAAAGTATAATCATGAAAAATAATGTCATTATTGTTCTCTGAGTCGTCCATATTATGACTTCATTCTTTGCTATCATTGTTGTAGCAGTATTTCAGTTTTTGCTGACTTTTAAATTACATCTTATGAATGCCGTAACGTTTTCATTACCACGCCTACAAGGATCCAGACTATTAATCAAGGCTTTTAAATATGGGCTTGTCTTGCGCACTCATTATTAGCATAACTTTCCCGGGTTATAGGCAACGTGGTTTATTTATTCTGTTACCTAATCTTTTCGTTCGTACCATTCAACGGCATTTTTGTTATTTAGAATCCACATCAAAATAGGGTGTAAATAAATATTGTCCCTATTACTGAACTCATTTTTGCGATTGATGATGAGTTTTTAAGGACTAACATATTCCTTATGGAAATAAGTGGTCATTCTTTAAGGACAGTTCTTTCTTTTTGTTGTGCTGCTCAATTCAATCTATTGCTTTATGAAAAGGGCATCCACCGTCGATTGGTAGGTCTTCAGATTTTGTCGAAGGGCAACCACACTCGATTGGTAGGTCTTCAGATTTTGTCGAAGGGCAACCACCGTCGATTGGTAGCTCTTCAGATTTTGTCGAAGGGCAAACACCGTCGATTGGTAGGTCATTAGCTTTTGTCGAAGGGCCACCACCGTCGATTGGTAGGTCATTAGCTTTTGTCGAAGGGCAAACACCGTCGATTGGTAGGTAATCAGCTGTTGTCGAAGGGCATCCCCCGTCGTTTGATATCTCTTCAGATTTTGTCGAAGTGTATCCACCGTCGATTGGTAGCTCTTCAGATTTTGCCGAAGGGCAAACACTGTCGATTGGTAGGTCATTAGCTTTTGTCGAAGGGCATCCACCGTCGATTGGTAGCTCGTCATATTTTGTCCAAAGGCATCCACCGTCGATTGGTTGGTCTTCTGATTTTGTCGAATAGAAACCACCGTCGATTGGTAGGTCTTCGGTTTTTGTCGAAGGGCATCCACCGTCGATTGGTAGCTCATTAGCTTTTGTCCAAGGGAAACAACCGTCGATTGGTAACTCTTCAGATTTTGTCGAAGGGCAACCACCGTCGATTGGTAGGTCATTAGCTTTTGTCGAATGGCAACCACGGTCGATTGGTAGGTAATCAGCTGTTGTCGAAGGGCATCCCCCGTCGATTGGTAGCTCTTCAGATTTTGTTGAAGGGCATCCACAGTCGATTGGTAGGCTTTCCGATTTTGTGGAAGGGCAACCACCGTCGATTCGTAGGTCTTCAGATTTTGTCGAAGGGCAACCACCGTCGATTGGTAGGTAATCAGCTGTTGTCGAAGGGCATACCCCGTTGATTGGTAGGTCTTCAGATTTTGTCGAAGGCCAACCACCCTCGTTTGGTAGGTCATCAGCTTTTGTCGAAGGGAAACAACTATCGATTGGTATGTCATCAGCTTTTGTCGAAGGTCAACCACTGTCGATTGGTATGTCATCATCATGGCCTGAAGTGCTGATTTCCATTTCTCTCAACATTTCGTTTGACATATTTGTCGGTTTTGACAAATGCACATTCTTTATTGAAATGAGATGGCTTTTTCATGTTAAAATTATCCACACGATTGATTCCACCGTCTCTTTTTGCTGTTACTCGAAGGATTCTGAGGAACCATTTCCAGCCGATTTTCCAAATTAAAATAATTTTTAAACATTGATGTCATTATCTTTTCAAGAATTGTTTGCATTGAATATCACATTATGGTGCCTGGAATCTTTTTTCATTAAAACAGTGATTCTTTTTTCATTTAATTTGCAGAATTTCTCTTTTCACCCAATATTTCTATCTACAAAATCTTCCAAGCCAAAATATTATTTTGCTTATAATTCAAATAGTTATTAATAGAATTGATTTTATTTTTCGATTTTTATTTCTAAATCAATTATCTCGATCGATTCAGCTTGCGGTTTCAGATAGACATTACGTTTGGGAAAATGGACACATCAGTTTACGGGTTTTCAGATTCTGTTCATCTCAGTTTCTAACAGAAACTTTTGGAATTTTCAGATGAAAGATTTCCAAGGAAATAAAAGTTAATTTTTCTCTTCACATATTGTCGAGACTATTGATCAAATTGAATGACATCAATAGTCCGGACAATACATGGAATTCTAATGAATCCCTATTTCCTTAATGATTACATAACTAAACAAAGTAGTGGAATGTATTAACATGGAGGATTCTAAGTAGAGTATATGGTTTATAGTCTTTACAAATCTTGAAATAATAAGAAAACTCTATATTCATATGGATGTCAGATTGTAGAAGAACGAATATATGATCGGTCGTAATGTAGTATCTGTAGTCTAAAAAAAGGACAAGTGAATAACCTTATTAGAAAACATTATTGCAATTTGCTCTGCCTACGCGTCTACTGACGGATATTATAGGTTACTTTTTATACCTCCTAGATCTTAAGGGGAGATATCTGATGATTTATCAGTGCAGTATCAATATTAGAAGCGATAAAACGGATTTCTTTGGAAGTAAACAGAGATATAATTGAATGATTTCGGAACTAATAATTACCGATCTGATTGAACCAGAATTTATTTGAATTTACTTCAACTCATTTAAGAAATCTATTAATATCGATATTGCAGTTAATTAAAAGATTGGAGACAATCGTTTCAATGAAAGATACGAAATCCAATGGAGTCTTTTTATTCTTCTTTTTGGATTCCTATAGATAGTGTATGATCTGGATGCAATATCAAAACCGATATTATTGGGATGCCATTGAATGGATGGATATATATATATATATATATATATATATATATATATATATATATATATTTTTGATATAACAGTATGAATACAATGTATAGGCCAGTTTTATAGATCGTTCGATGGTATCAACCTATTTGAGGACGTTTTAAGGGATCGGAGCCCCTAGAACCCCATCCACAATAATATTCCTTTAAGAACTTACATGAAATTCTTTGAAATCCATTCATTTGTTCAAAGAGTTCGCGCGGCTTCTTGACTCTGATGTGGAAATTTCCTTTTCTTATCTACTTCGTTCTTGCTAGAGGGACGAATAAAAAGTTGTTAAATGCGTTACATCGAAAGAAATCTGAAAGAAAAATCTCTTTACGGTGAGAAACCTTTTCTTTTTACTTGCCTCGCAAGGACTTTCACTTGAGAAGAGTTGGAAAAATGTGCTTCTTACATCACATGTCATACGATGCAGTAATCATCTCACCAGGAAGGAGAATACTTTTCCATATTGTAGTTTTACATATTAATATGACTGGACTGTAAGAAGACATACATTTTTACAGTGTAAATGTGTGATTCTTGTTTGTTTCAAATTATCTGTTAGATACATCAAAATGCTTTCGTTTTTTGTTTGTTTTTTTTCGTTTTTTTTATAATGACAACCTCTCGCACACGCTTTATTTTCAAGCTTATATAATGTCCACCGCTTATTGTGCTTTCGATGTTCTTAGTTCTAAATATTTTCGAGTACTGCCGGTGAATCGGCTGCTTCTCTACTTTGAATGTCATAATCATAATCGGTAAACGATGTTCATCAACTTCTTGGCTTCGGATCAAAAAATATCATAATAAGAAGAAGAACAAGAAGAAAAAGAAGAAGAAAATAAGAAAGAAACAAAAAGAAAAGAAATTCAGTATGCAAATAACCTCCAACAAATTAAAAGTAGAATTTCAATTGGATATAGAAATACAATTAAAAACATAATACACCTACTGCAGCGACAAAGAACATAAAAAAGGAGAAAAAAGACAAATGGACCAAATGCAGAAATAATGGCAAAATAAGTCTCTTCGCAGTCAATACTCTGCCCGTGTAAAACATGGTGATTTCCCAGAGGAAAAGACAAAACCATTGGTTAAAGAAATATTCAAGACTTGATTAAAGGCTGAAACACAAAGGTTTTGTTCTTGCTGCAAAGGAAAAATGGTTAGTAATTCTGAAATAATTTTTTAAGCACACATATTAAAATGCAAATTCCGTGATAAATATCCATAAACAATTGAATCTTTTATATCAGGTAGAACGTTATTAAACAAAACCCAAACCTGAATATAAAAAGATGGCATGACATAGTTTTGTTAAATCTGCATAAAAAATCTTAAACTTTTTACGAGAAGGAATATAAAAGTAAAAGCATGAATTTCTAAATGCCTCAATATATATGCTAGACCTGTAATCATTTTATGGGACCTTACAATACGTACAGACAGAACAATCAAATCGAATCGCTCATACGATCAACAAGACCACAAAAAATAACGCCCTTTCTTATTCACATTCTGTACACCGTAATGTTTCTATGAAGATCTTTAAAAGGCCATCAAAATACAAGGTTTTTGATTTGGAAATCCAATATTTTAGTTGTAGTTGGAGCCCTCTATTTCATTGAAAATGTTTCTGATGGACTCATTGAAATTGATTCTGGCATGTTTAAATTTTCTTGAAGAAAAAAATTTAATTGTACTCAAAAATAATTTGTAACACCTTAAAAAGGACTTTATATATGTAAAAACATGAACCTCGTTTTTCTTTTGTATTCTTTTTTCTTTTCTTTTCTTTTTTTTTACAAAAATACTCAGTGAAGGTGTCATGATGCAATTTATGAAATTGGGTTCCTTTCGGAGTCGGTATGAAATGACTATACAACAGAAATCAAATAAAATAATAATAAAAAAAATTAATAATAATAAAAACCACACAAACAAAATATGTCTTCTTATTGACATGGCGGTTCCTGCATTTCTGTAATATTAAAGTTAAGACCTTCCAAAAAACTATCAAAAGAAATAAGAACTTTTTTAGTGGAAATCTAAAATAATTCCAGTTGTAATTGGATCCCTGGGATTGATTGAAAATGTTTCCGATAGACTTATTGATGGGATCCCTTAATAACCCATTATTGCCCTATGGCCAAATTCAAGATCATTAATTTCAAAATTTTCGATGGATTGCATTTAAAGGTGACTTGGAAGAAAAATCCAGTTACATTTAGGATAATTTGAATTGGTAACTGTGAAGTTATACTTTGATTACTTGCCAGGAATTTATTTCTTTCATACGTTATTGTTCAAGATTATGCCTTCAAATATTTTGTACTGATGCATTCTCTAGATGCTAATATTGGGCCTCAACTCTAATTCAGCATCAAGCAAAATTAAAAACAACAATAAAATTTTTTAGCAATTATAATAGTGTTATGAAATATATTTCTAATTTTAAATAATTTTGAAACAATGATTCATATTTGTTTGAACTGTTTACAGAGAGAAAAGATGTAACTGTTTTTTGCAAAACACATCAGAGAAGGTTCTTATTACTCTCAGTAAAATATCAATTCTTGTGTCGAAATCGAATTTAGATTCTTAGGCAACAAGTAATAGATTTACGATGAGCATTTATGAAATAATCACAGCCAATCGTAAATAAATTAGTTTAAGTACTTAGAATGTGACACGGTGTCAGATTTGGCAGCAAAAGTTAAGCGTTTTAATAACCTTCTTTTGCGATACACATAAATATATATAAAAGAGATTGAACTGAGAGGAGGACTACCAAAATGAAAATAGATGAAAAAATATATAAAATTTTATATGTATATATAGACGACAATTATTTTCAATAGATGGAATTTTGTTCAGAAAAATGAACAGTAAAATCTGCTGAAAGGCTACGAGCATGAAATTTTTCAACGTGCATGACATCGTGATTCTGGCCCATCGATATCACAAATGCACCATTAAAATATGATGGAATAAAACAGTTTTAAATACAAATAAATTTTATGTAAATATATATATATATATATATATTTATATATATATATATATATGTATATATGTATGTATTTAATGCATTGTATAGATTTAATTATATATATATAATAACTCATTGAGTCTAGAATAAGGAACCTCAACAGAATGCAGAAAGCACTGGAAAGCCGTTTCATCCTTATCCTAAACTCAATGCATGGTGGAAGAAGACATTAATTCTTATTTAAATCCACTGGGTCAAAAAGAAAATTTGAATGAGTATCACTACTGAAGATAAATTTTGTCTAGTTGAAAAAGTCTTCCTCATCGTATAGAGATGAATACCAAAGAATGACACAAATACTTGTTATATCAAATCTCCGGTTTCAATTCTCGTTAGTGGATAACAAATGAAAGAAAAAAACTCCAAAAACATCAATCACACCGTCCACAATATTCTTGTTCATGTTTGGATTCTAACTCAAAGAATTATTATAAATATATATATATATATATAATATAAAATGAGGAATTGGAAAAATCACCAAATTTGGATTTTTTAATAAGTAAGTATAAAAAAAAAGAACATTTCAAGATCATTTTTTCCTTGGAGAAAATCGGAAGACGAAACGCGTCGGCAAAATAATAAAAAAAATTTCAATTGTCATTTTATACCAAATTTTTGTCATTAGTTTTTTCATCTTTAATTTAACTATTTTTATATATATATATATAT